TACCTGGCTATCAGTCCTTGGAGAAGTGGAATTAGCAATGTTTCTAGCCATACAGGCTGCCACAGACATGACAGCCTTATCTTCCACACCACAGAGAAAGCTGAACTGAGTCACAGACTTCAATCCTTTCCTTCAAAGACAGTGTAAAGCTTCCAGGTAAAGACATGATCCTGGTATTCAAGGATACTGCTCACCTATGTGGAAAGAGGACTATTTTCTAGGCTCACTTGCAGGAGACAGAACCAATTTCCACTAGAACAAATTGCCATCTTCAAATAAGGACTTAGCATATGCTGTTTAAATGTCCCCTCGTTACACAGTAGTATGTATAAGCTGAAATTTCCCGAGTTCATCTTAAATTGTATAGCAATTTCCTTCCTAGCAGTGAATATCTGCAAGAGCAACAGGGTTGTTAATTATGCTGTGCACATTGTTTCAAGAAGGTGCTCAGAGCTCCTGGTGGTTAGCACAGCACTGATTCCCGTATGAAAGAAGAACCTTCTGGTGAGGTGATGAAGAACATCATCTTTGCTCACAGAGTGTCACACTGGACAGAAACTTCCTGTCCCAGAACATCTGTGCACATAGTAATGAGGTTTTCTGTTTCTCCTTCATTTGCCTTTAACAGTGATCAAGGATGCATGGTAGGACCTCTTCGTAACCACTCCTTGACATTTCCGCATGTAACGTATCCTTATGAGCAACTACCATATCCTCTGTTAGTTTGAAATAACCAGGAAGATGCTCAGCCCCAAGGTACCAGTTCATACACCCTCTGCTAAACAAGTATGCTTGCTGAATGCCTCTGTAAATTCAACAACAAATAGTCTGAATCAAAATAATTAGATAAATTATGGAACAAAAATCTACTTAGGGCTATTAAACACAGAGATAAGTCTTTTGATTGAGAAGATCTCTGAGTCATGCCTTTTTATCTCAGGGCTGGGAGGGTGCTGGGAGAGCTTTCCCTCCTCTTCTTGCATCTGCCCCAGCTGGGGCAATGAGTGCCTGCCACAGAGAGCAGAGCAGGTTGTTAGATATTTACATTAACCTACCTGTCTGTGAGTGCTGGGCTGGCTCTGTTTCCTCTTCAGCTGAGGCCTGTAACCACAGCCGAAGTCTGTTAGGATGACTCTGCAAACCAGAGATAGCAGAGGGCAGGAGCCAGCTCTTCAAGTGGACGAAAGCTTGTACTCATAAGGAATATTATTTGGATAGGAATACATATCAAATAGTAAATTAAATGTATTAAACACAGAATCCTTTTGATGGTTCTTTTAACTTCAAGACTTCTATGATTCTGTGGTTCTATAAGCACAAACACTGAAGCTCAGTAGCAATTCAGCACCATATTCAGACTGTGATGACCAGCTTGGCATTGCAAGCCTTAAAGAGAATTTAGGACAGAAATTATTTCTTTGACAAAGAAGAGTTTAGCAAGTAGTAGCAATAATGGGTATCTTTCCTAGCCATTGAATAGAGATAAAAATAATATAAATAATGACAGTCAATGAGAAACAATTTCTTCAGTCTTCTACATGCCAATGTGAACTAATAAAGCTGTATACTCTGTATTTGAAAAGCAACAAGGTAGTCCACATAGCAAAGTACATCCTGGGAGCACCTCTGTTATCTGCTGAGTCATTTTTAAGCACTATTTTATGGGAAAACACGTAACCCTTCATCTGCTTATCCAGTGGCACATGAGTGTAGATGTAAGTGTGCTGCAGCTATGGAGAGTCCTGGAGTTGTTACAGTGAGAAGTGGACATATGTCCTGCAAGAATGTAATATTCCAGAATGCTTAATTTTAAGTCTATTGAGAAAAAAGATAAATGAGAATACTTGAAAGACTATTAGGCTAATGAGAAAAAGAAAAAGCTAGAGCAATGTTGACTTCACAATGGAAAAATGCTGAATTTCCAGTGCAGTTCTGGACTTTGCTATTTGTTGCAGATGAGCGGACCTCAATTAAAGTAAGCGAGCTCTGTGTAGACCTGTGTGTGGGTAGACCTGTCTGCCACTACAAGTTTGCTGCAGGATTAGACTCATTATTTGAATTTCCAGATCTTCAACAGTACTGTGTTTGTAATGTGTGAAAGCAAATTTAACAGATTTAATAGGGGAAAGCCTTTTTATTGCACTGACTTCTATAGACAAAAGGGAGTTGCAATGCATTAAGATATTACACATGTAGAACAAAATTCCTCTGGCCTTTAGTGAGCTTTGGATCAGGTCCTTGTGGTAAGTAAAAGAAAATAAATGTTAAAAAAGCCCAATTATCACACAAATACAATATTTAATCTCCAGATACTCAGCTTCAAACAGTGTAATTGAGTTCAATAGCTCCATGTTTATTATTATGGCCTATGCCTAGACATTAGCGAAATGAAAAACATGAGGGCCAATGTCATACATACTCCCACACACCTATGCAAATACAATTATAATCGCTCTCTGTATTTCACAGTAGACCTCTTATGAGAATTGTTATGCTTATTTGTCTAAAAAAACCATATCTGTTACGTAAAAAATGTTTGAAAAAGAACTTTGTTTCATTTAGCATTAAACAAACATCCAGCCAGGATTGTTGATACTACCTTGCCTATGCATACACATACGTGTATACATTTATGTATATCACACAACAAAGCTTACCTGCTAAACACAATCCTATGCCTCAGCTACATGAAAAACATTCCCACTAATTGCCGTCCACTTGTTGCACCTCTCCTGAAAGAACCAAATCTCTCTTAAATGTACATTTTCACAAGCATCCCTTCACACAACAGGCCTTTGCACAGCATTGTGAATCCATGGAGGAAATGAACTCCTTCCATCCTCTCTCTGTATCTGCATGAAGCCTTGCACAATGGGGCTGTGATTTATTTGGGGCCCCTGGGTATGACTGCCATACAAGTAGTAACTAATAACAACAGACCACCAGAGATTGCTGAGATGCGTTGGCTGTAAGGAAAAATAAAGCCTGGTCCACAATAATGACATTTTACTTCCAGTTGCATGTATGAATATCACGGAAATTATAGGGCTTGATGAAAATCTTAGAGCACCTCTTTGATCTCAATCTGACTTTTCAGACAGCGGTAATAAAAATAAATCAGGCTACGATTTGTGGAAAAATTACCAAGTTTTAAGATGTCCACTAAAGACAACTCATTGAAATGCATCTAAGAACTTCCTCTTCTTTTTTTTTTTCTTTTCTTTTCTCTTTTCTTTTCTTTTCTTTTCTTTTCTTTTCTTTTCTTTTCTTTTCTTTTCTTTTCTTTTTTCCTTTCTTTTATTTTCTTTTTCCTTTTCTTTCCTTTCTTTTTTCTTTTTCCTTTTCTTTTCCTTTCTTTTCTTTCTTTTCTTTTTCTTTTTTGTTTTCTATATTCTCTTCTTATTTTCTTTTTTCATTTATTTTTCCTTTCCTTTCCCTTTCCTTTTCTTTCCTTTCCTTCTTTCATTCTCCCTTCCTTTCTCTTCTCTCTTCTCCCCTTCTTTCCTTTTCTCCCCTAAATATCCTACTTATGATGATGAAACCCTAACACTGGATCCTTCACTCTATTACAACACCATGCACAAAGACTAGGTCCTGTGGGACGAGGTCTGTTATTCCTCCAGCGGGAGCAGGATGAGGCCCTTGGTGCTGAGCATCTCTGGCCAAGGGAAGAGCACCCTGTTCTGCCTTTACCCGCTGCTCTCCCCCGCAGTAAACCAGGGAGCTCCCCCAGCCTGCTCCAGGTGGGTAGCATTCCCAGGCAGGCGGAGGGCAGGGTGGAGAGGAGCGCTCCTGATGGATACTCCGGTGTTTGTGTGAAAAATTCTCAGGGAAAATTCTTTCTCTCCCTCTCAGGCCCCTAAACTCTTTGTGAATGGGGCCAGTGCAACATGTGGCCTTTCACCTCACCCAAGAACCACTGCCAGACAGCCACACTCAGAGAATTGTTTGTTAATAGTCCAATTAGATAATTGCCATCTTTCACTCCTTTTGCTCTACATTTCCCATAAAGGAATGAATAAGGAGAGCAGCATGAAGAGGGCTTCTGCCCTGCAAGGTGACAAGAAGGACTGGAGCATGCTCTTTGCACAAGGCCATTTGCTTGAATTGAATCATTGTAGCCTAATCAACGGTCTTATTGGATTACTGGCTGTTGCGGTTCTCAAAGATATTGTAGCAGAGACAATGAAATAGCTAGAGTAAAACTTTTTTTTCTCCTTTGGTGGATAACGCAGTTGAGATTTTTCACGGGCTATCTCTCTCTCTCCCTCCCTCCTTCCCTTTCCTTCCCTCCCTCTTTCCCTCTTTCTCCCCCTCTCCCTTTCTCCCCCCTCCTGGATCCACTGAGCACAAAGCTGGCTCTTTTTTTTTTCTTCCTCCTTTTTTTTTTTTTTCCCCAATGAGCAGGCTCTGCGAATAGGTTCAGTGTTTGCGAAGGTGCAGAATTAGCACACACACATGCACGCACACATACACACACACACACACAGAGGGAGAAGCACAAAAAGCAAGTATCGGGACTGAAGTAAGGAGAGGTAGGAGTTTAAGATGGCTGTCTGTGGGGAGATGTGTTAACGAGGATTTCTGCTGGCCAAGATAACCTGCTTCATTGGAGAGATCTGCTGGAAGGACCAACTTTTGATGCGTGTGCGTGCTGGGGATCTGTTTGTTTGTTTAGAATTCAGGGGGCTCTTTTCTTTTTTTTCTTTTTTTGGCTGTGGTTTTGTTGGTGGGTTTTTGCTTTTTCCACCCCCCTGCAACTGCATTTTTCCAGCCCTTCCCAGCAGCTTTATTCAGATTTATTTGGCGTGCTTTGGAGAAAGCCACTCTATAATCGGGAGGTCAAAGGCATACTGAAGAAAGTTAATAATGGCTGCTAATGGTGCTAACAATTCAGGGTGAATCTTGTCAAAAGTTTTTTTTTTTTCCCCTCCCCCCCCCCCCCCCTTTTTTTTTTCCTCCTTTTTTTTTTTTTCTCCCTTTTTTTTTTTTTTTTTTCTGGAAGTCTCAGTCTTTTGATTGTGTGTTTCCTGAAAGCAAGACCAATCATTTCAGTTTATTCACTGGCTAAACTCTACTTGATTGGGGACAAGCACACAAACCATCCATTACGATCTGATATATTATCCAAACAATTTAGTGTATTCATGAGGTAACCTAAATGTGGAGGCTGCAAAATTACCCGTAATCAATTGAAACAGCGAGTGCGCGTCCCTCTGTGTGTCTAACAACTACATGTCTCTGTAATAAGGCAGACATTAAATCATTTTAGAGTTGTACTGTTGAGTACCTGATCACTGGGCGCTCTGGGAAGCTGGACAGTCACATTAGGACGCTGGGACTGAGGAAGCCGCTGCTTTTCCAGTGGGATAAAACCCGATCTTCCTTATTCAAGGTGCTTTTACAGATCCCCACCGATCTGACCCTAAGCCGTGCAATATCCAACATAGACTTCGCCTTCTTCTTCTTCTTCTACTCTTCTATTTTTTTGTTGTTGGTGGTATTTTTTTTCTGTTTTGTTTTTATTGCACTACATGTTTGGGAAACAAGACAAAATGGACGTTAGATGCAGTTCAGAGACTGAAGCTAACCGGGTCTCGAAGAACGGACATAAAGAGGGCAAGGAAAGCAAAGGGGCTGAAGGAAATATTTCTACTTCTTTTTTGAAGGATCAGCAAGGGACTTTTTCTGCCTCTGCAGCTACGGAAGGTTGTAATAAAAGTAAATCTAGTTCGGCTGACCCGGACTATTGCAGGAGGATCCTAGTTAGAGGTATGAGTTTGAGGGATTTCGCTGCGGGTGGGGGTGAGCTGTGAGCTGTTCTTATTTCGTCGTTTTGCCTTGGGTCCCCCCCCCGGCTTGGAAGCTCTTCCTGCGGCCCTGCACCGCGCTCCAGCCCCGTGTGCTGCGGCGAATCGCCTCCGTGGCTGCGGGAGAACTTCGGCCGCGGTGGTTCCCCACCCGCTCCGCCCGGTCCCGTCGGGTTTTAACGGGGTTTATTCCCCGCGTTGCGCCTCTCCCTGGGTGCCCGTCCCCGCAGGGAGCCTGCCGGGGTCGGGGCTCTGGCGCTGGCTTTGCCCCGAGGCCGGGCGCGCTCCTTCCGCGCCCGCGCATCTCGCCTGCCGCGTACAATGGCGCGGGGCCGCGGTTCCCGCCCGGTGTGGAAGCGGGCAGCAGGGTCGCCTGCAGAAAGGGCTGCTTTGGAATAGCCATCACCCTTAAAACGAACGGAGGCACCACGAAGGGCTTCTTAATCCTTATCATTTATTATATAGTTATACGTTTAATTTTCCCCAACCCTCGTCTTCTCTCCTGGCTGAAGTAATTAAATGGTCCTATTCCTCCCCCCTCCGAAAAAATAATAATCATAATTTAAAATTTACCTGCAGGAATTTCGGGTTTATTAAGGAGAATTTTTGGGAGGAGGGAGCGAACAGAATCGGACCAAAATTAGTGCGAAGCAAGGCCTTGTAAACAATAATTAATCCTTGCGCGACCGATTGACCCAGAGAGGGGGTCAGATTAAAATGATGTGATTGTCTCTGATTTAAAACGTACCGAGGAGGTAAAATTACGGAAAGCAAAGTTGGGAAGGCTTTAATGTAACATGAATCTGGCTCTGGCTTGACAGTGGTGTTAACAAGATTTGTCCCGCTTTCTTTCGGTCCGGGCTACCAGAGGAGTGAGGTTTCTGCGGGCTGGTTGGTGCCGTGGGTTAGCTTTTTCACCTTTTTCCTCCCCTCCTTCTTCTTCTGTTTGCCAAAACCCCGGAGCTTGCTTGCTCGGGATGCGGGGTGGGCTGGGGTGTCCCCACATCCAGGGTGGGCACTCAGCCAGCGCTGCCTGTGCCCAGAAAGCTCCTGCCTGCCTGATTTTCCATGGAAAACTTTAACAAAATTAAATACATTGATAAAAGGGAGGTTTTCTATTTTGGGGGAGTAGGGGGTGGCTTCCAGCGAGCCCTAACCTGGAGCTCAGGGGGAACAAAGAGTAACCCTGAGCTCCAGGCACAAAGCCCGGCCTGGAGGATCCTTCTCCAGCTTTCCGGAGAGAACGTGGGTGATGCCGCAGTGTTGTAGTGTCAGGGTGATATATTCAAAATCAAAACGATTTTTAACTGGGCTGAGGGGATTATTTCCAGAGCTTTGGGCCCCCATCGCCCCCTCCTTCCTTCTCTGTTGGGTGTTTGGGGATTTTTATCCCCTTCCTTGGGTGCAGTGGGTAGGTGCAGTGCCGCAGTCTCCATCCCGACTCGGGGCTTGGTCTTGAAGGCGCTGGAGACGTCTCTTTCATTCGGAAATAGTAAAAGGAATGATAAAACGGGGGGAGGAAATCAGAGAAGAAGGTTGCCTGGCTGTAAAAGTGACTGTACCTTTCTTTGCCAGATGCCAAAGGTTCAATCAGAGAGATTATTCTGCCCAAAGGGCTTGATCTGGACCGTCCCAAGCGGACCCGCACCTCCTTCACGGCCGAGCAGCTCTACCGCCTGGAGATGGAGTTCCAGCGCTGCCAGTACGTCGTGGGGCGGGAGCGCACCGAGCTCGCCCGCCAGCTCAATCTCTCCGAGACTCAGGTAGTCCCAGAAGGACGGGGACCCCCGGCTGCCCTGTCCCGTGTCCCTCCGTGGAAGCTCCCATCCCGGCCCGGGCACCTCCCCTGCGCCAGGCCCCACGTGTGGGCCAGCGCTGCGGCCCTGCGCGTCGTTTGCGCGCCTCTTGCGCGCCACAGCGCAGGCCGAGGGAGCTGGTGGGTAAAGGCCCACGCGTGTCGGGTCTGGAGAAGGGATGGAGATAGGGGTGCGTGGGTGAGGGACCTGTAGCTGTGTGCGGCTCGGGAACGGCTGTGGCCAAGGGGGGGGGGGTCCGCCGCACTGCGCGTCCCCGCACATGGCCCCCGTGGGTCTGCGCGGGGCCGAGGGAGCTTGGCTATGAAGTCAAACCCTTCCCCAGGCCGGAGCGCGGCTCCCACCGCGGGGACCCACCCGGGCCCCGTCGGGGCTCGGTGCTCCCGGCTCCGAGGTGCTGCCCCGGGGGCGGAGTTGCACTGCTGCGGCCGCGGAGAGGCGAGGAGCGGCCAAGGCGCTCCCGGCCAGCAGCAAGCGGAATATCGGGGGGAAGCTGGCACCGTCCCGGGGGTTGCCGGTTAGAGGAGGTTGATCCGAGCGCTCTGCCCTTGGGTACGGGAGTTGCGGGGACGGGCCTGAAGTTTGGGCCGTATTTTGGGTGCCTGTAGTTCCGGCCCCTCCGTCCAGCAAAGCAGAGAGGCCGTGGGCCGTCAGGAGGGTTAGAACTGTGCGAGAGTGCGGGGAAGCGTCTAAAAAGAGCTCAAACTTTTGAAAGGCTGTTTCATATTTTTGCAAAACATCGTGCAATAACAACCCCCCCCGACAAGATAATTACCTTTTTTCTTTCCCTTGCCGGATAGGAATGACAAGTTCAGTAGCTCGTAGGTTACAGAAACCACCACGGGTGTTTGGGGGTTTGGGTGTTGTTATCATTATTGTTATTACTCCCGGGAAAGGTTTCCAGGATCTCAGTTTGAAGTTCAGTATTGTCTAAAATGGACGGGGAGAGAATATCCAGGCCAGGAGGTTGGAAAGGGAGCATGGAGTTGTTGTCCCAGGCAGGAAAGGCAGCTGGGCCTGGGCAGGCTGCAGTGTGGGAACGCAGAGCGGGTCCTGAGTTCTTGGGGCTGAGCTGGCTCGGAATAAACCGTTGGGGAAAGGGCTGGCGTACGGTGAAATCGGATAAAGTGAGACGGATCAGGCTACAGATGCAGTGCGATAAGGAGTGTTTGCCCCGTCCCCCTGGGCGAACCCCAAAACGGGGAACCCCGGGCTCGGCGGGTGGGAAAGGGTCGCTCTGTGCGTTCCTAAAGCGCTCCCGTTAGCAGGTGCGGGCTGGAGCCCCCCCCCCGCACCCCTCCCGCTCCGCCCCGCGGGGCCCGGGCACCGGTCGGGGGGCGCCGGTCGCAGCCCGCCCCGCTGACCCCGCTCTCTCCCCGGCCTGCAGGTCAAGGTCTGGTTCCAGAACCGGCGCACCAAGCAGAAAAAGGACCAGGGCAAGGACTCCGAGCTGCGGTCGGTGGTGTCCGAGACAGCCGCTACCTGCAGCGTCCTGCGGCTGCTTGAGCAAGGCCGGCTGCTCTCCCCGCCGGGGCTGCCGGGCCTCCTGCCTCCCTGCGCTACCGGAGCGCTGGGCTCGGCGCTACGCGGGCCCGGCCTGGCTGCGGGCAGCGGCAGCGCGGCGGCGGGTCCCGGCGGCGGCGGCTCCCCGCATCCACCGGCCGCCAGCACCGCTGCCGGGCCCCCTCCGCCGGCAGCGCTGCACGGGGCGGCCGCCGCCGGGCACGGGCTGTTCGGGCTGCCGGTGCCCGCGCTGCTGGGCTCGGTGGCCGGGCGGCTCTCCTCCGCGCCCTTGGCCGTGGCCGGCTCGCTGGCGGGCAACTTGCAGGAACTGTCGGCCCGCTACCTGAGCTCGTCGGCCTTCGAGCCCTACTCCCGGACCAACAATAAAGAAAGCGCTGAGAAAAAAGCACTGGACTGACTCTAAGTAACTTCCCCGTATTTATATTTATAATCTCTATTTGTGGCGATATTTATGGGGCGGGCGGCGCGGCGGGCCCCTCCATCCATCCCTTCTTCCCTCCCTCGCCGCCTCCAAGCCCCGCGGCGCGGTTCCCTCCGCGGGCCGGTGCGGAGAGGAGCAGGGTCCCGGTGCCCGCGGGGAGAGGCGAGGCAGCGACCGGGAGCTGCGGGAACGGGGCAGCCCCCGCCGCTCCCCTGCCCAGCCGGCCCGGCGTCCGTGAGTCCTTTCGGGGAGGGAGGGGGGTGTCTGTTCGTTTGCTTTGCCACCGGTAGGAAAGGGAAGAGGAGGGAGAGCGGACGGGGTGCGGTTTGGCTCTTTCGGGCCCGCTGTATCCAGTGCCAAGCGAGAGAAAGGGATTTCGGAGAGAGGAAGACGGAGCTGCCAGGTGATGCCCGGGTTTGGTTTTTTCCCCCCTCAGTGACTCCGAAGCACAAGGGGTTGGGGGCTTCACCCGTGCCCCCCGTTCCGGCACATCCACTGCACTGCAGTCCCCGGGAAAGCTCCGTGCCGCTCGCCCGGAACACCGGCCGGGTAAATGGCCAGCAGCTTCCCTTTTCCACCTTGAACCCCGAACGTGGGAAGGGCCGGAGCGGGCTGCCTTGCAAATACACGCACGGAGCGGGGAGACAGAAAACAGTGGCTGCAGAGATTTTGGATCAAACTGTCTCCCCCTTCGAGATAACACAAAGCCCCTTTTTTCCCCTTTATTTTCCTTTATTTTTTCCCCCCATTCCCCCCCCCCCCCCGCATTCTCACGGGCCAGCCCCGAGGTCTTTATCTGCAAAACCAAATCTGCAGATAAAGGATGGATAAATCGCGACTCGATTTGCAACCAGATCTGTTGCGATAGTATTTTTTCTGTTCATTTTTTTTCTTCTATTCGTTTTTTTTTTTCCCAAAAAAATTTCAACGCGCATCAAACTGAAACAAAACCAATCTTTAGGCTTCCTTCCTCCTAAACCAACCCTCGCGTATATCGCTCACACTTCATTTAAAACGAACGTCAAATATAAAAAGCGTATCTTTTAATGTTATTTTTGTACTTTAAAATACATCTATGTAACAAGCTCCTCCTTTTTTTTGCCTTCGTAATTCCTACTGCTATTTTCTCCACAAACATGTATTCACCTTCTAGTATTCCGGATCGAATATTCCTGTTCAATCTTGGTACTTGAATGATTTGCCGGAAAAGGGATGCTGTACTTTTAGCGAGTTCTTTGGAAACAAGCGATTAATATTCTTGACTTTGGTTTGAAGTTTCTTTTCTTTCTTTCAAGTTTAACGTTTACAAACTGTATAAATCCGTGCCACCAAACTGTAACCAAAAAAAAAAAAAAAAAAATAAGAAAAGAAAAAAGAGAAAAAAATTGCCAACAAGTGGAATGGTTGCTGTAGAATAGAGAATTAATTCTAGAAGTGGGCAGAAGGAGATGGACAGAAAGAAAATAGTAATTTTATTGTAAATTATTTACGTCGGAAGTTTCTAGGCAACTAGTCGGGAAAAGAAACAAATAATGGATGAATCGAGCGCTGAGCCCTTGCTACTAACTTTTGTTCTGAATGTTTTGGATATTTGGATGTTTTGTATTTATGTGGTGAGAGTGAAATATATTATATCTATATGATGACGGAATTAGGTGTATTTTCGTCTTATATTCATAGCACCCACGTTACTTTAATCGAATGTACGCGCTGCTGAACTCCCCCCCCCCCCCCCCCCCCAATCCCTCTCTAGGTTCACAGTTTTTATTTAATTTTTATATTTTATTTCTAATTCTGAAAAAGGGGGTTGTAAGGTCCCTTTCATGGAGCGGGATCTTTTCCCTTTTCCTTCTGGGGCAGTTTGGGGCATTCCCAGTCCCCTTCCCAGCTCCAGCCCATCTCTCGCAGAGCTCCTTACCCTGTGGGCCCAATCCCCTACCCATGGCTGTCCTTGTGGTCGTGATGGCATTGTCCTGCATGGGGAGACAAGCTGGGTGCCCATCCTATCCCAATGTCACCTCCATCCTGGTGTGTGGGTCCCTCACTTCCGCACCCCTTCTCCTGCTTGCAGCAGGTGCCGGGCCTGGCTTATGGATGCACATACATGTGTGCCTATCTATATATCCCTATATAAGCATATATAAATACGCATACAAATATATATATGCTTGTGTGCATAAATACGGATATTAATACCTAAACAGCTCTTGCTTCCATCCCATTTGGCAGCCCAGTCCTGAGAGTCCTTTGCTGGGAAGCCGGTGCGGGGCAGTATCCCTGTTTTTTGGAAGCCCCCCTCTGAGGCCTCCGTTCTTCCAGGGCCACAGGGAGGTCTCAATCCATGGCTCTCCGGGCATCTCCCTGGAATCCCAGTGCAGCCTCTGCTGATCTTTGCTATGAGCCTGTCCTAGCCACGGCAGATGCACGGCTCTGGATTAAGAGGGAAAGATGTGGTGACGATGGTGACTTGTTGTTTGTTTTTAAAGTGTGTAGAAATGATCTGGGGAAGGGTGAGCAGGGTGAAGGAGGGGATGGAAGGTGACATTTGAAGAGGTGACACTGAAGCTTTGGTCAAGACTGAAAAACTTCAAGGGAAGGGGAAGGGAAGCAGTGGTAAAAAGAACAGAGCTGAGAGGGGCAAAACAGATCTGCCAGGGAGACCCTGGGGGACAGTTCTGGGTTTCTGCCTTGCCTGCATGGGCTGCACAGCAGCACCCGCACCCCTGGGCAAAGAGAGGAGCCCTGGCCTGAGCTGACTTTGCCATAGAGGCACTCACCGACCCTCAGACCTTCCCCGGCTCCCCTGCCCTGTGTGGGGCTGTCCTGTGTTCTGATGTTGCCCTGTCCCTCCTGTTGAGATAGGGCCACTTTGTGTCCCAAACCCGCTGCTGCACCGTGAGCCATAGGGAACACCAGCACGAATGTGTCCTGCTAGAGCTGCCTCAGGTGCCTTCAGCTGAAAAGAGCATTTCTTTGCTCTTCTATTTTTGCAAACAGAAACAGTGTGTGGGGGCTCCTGCTCCCTCATGCAGGCACCATGAGGCCCTTTTCCCCTGGTTGCTGGTCTGACACGCAGTCCCGGGGCTGGAGCCATGGTCAGTGCCAGCCCTTTACTCCTCATCTAAGGCAATTTAAGCCAGCATCAAGCTAAATTGCCTACACTAAAGCCAAAATCCTTATTTTACAGCTTTGCAGCCCTCAGTAAACATGTGAAGAGCTGGATGGTTTTATTCTCATTACTATTATTATTTATGAATATATCCAAATAAGGATGTGCCCTGAGGTGTGAAGGGGCCTTGTCTGAGCACTCAAGCAAAAGAAATACTTCAGGACGTCATTATTAATTATTTTTCCCCCCTGTCTCTTTCAAATTCTACCTCTCCCACCTCTAATACCCGAGGCTGCTTCTGGGCTGGGGGCAGAGGAAAAGCTGGAGGCTCTGCAGTACCACGCAGCGTTATCACAAACTTGGTCTTTTTCTGCTTGTGACTCGGGTCAAAACCTTGGACCCCAACAGGGAGGGAGCTTCCTTTGGAACTTGCAGCATCTCAGATGCAGGGGGTTCTTGGGTGCCTGTCTCCCCTCCTTTCTGCTAAAGGAGAACAAACTAAGAGATGTTCACCTGATTTCTACAAAAGGAGGAAGGAAATAGCACCTGTAGCTGGGTCGCTGCGTGGGACAAGTTAAACATCACGCATACACACTTTGGTACAACCAGCGATCCCGAATCAACAAACTGCTTATAAATAATAGTCTCATTTCATTTTTTTTCCTTGTTTCCTCTTTTTGCCGACTGCCCCAAAGCTGTTCTAAAGCCATGTGCTGTCCAGAGACACTGCTTGCTTGTTTTCACTGAACTGCTGAATTCCATTCTATGGGAGCAACGAACACAAACCACCTTCCTGGAAGCTACTTGCTGCTGAAAGGTTTTGTGGTGTTTCATGTGGTATCTTTATTTGTGCCCATCATTGTGGCATCTGAGCTCAACCTAAGGAATACTGGGCTTATGGTGAGTGCGTGTGAATGGTGGGAATATTTAGGAGGAAAGCAAATAAGCAAAATATAAACCTATCTCTGGTATGAGTTTTTAAGGAAATAATGAAAGTCTTCCAGTGGCAGGCAGACTTCCTCAAACTTTCCTTTAGCAGCAGCTACACGTAGGGTGAGCAAGCAGTAACAAAGGCTGAGGGCAGTATGGGGTGTTTCAGTTTGTTCAGCTGAACCCAAGGAATGTTTTCACAGGTACATGGACAGGGTGTCTGGTCCTGTGCCTCCCGGGAAGGCAAAGTGCCCAGGAGCAGCTCCAGGGTGAACACAAAGCAATGTTAGCCACGTCCATGAAGGGAAAAGAGGAATTAGCCTATTTAGAGGATTTTTTTCAAAAGCATTTGCCCACCCACTTAACATAGGCCCTGCTTTATTTGCTGCTCCTCCATATCCCTCATGCCAGGGATTAGTGCAGCCTCCGACCACTTTGTCTCCTTTTGCAACCCTGTCATCAGCCCCACATACATGACCTTGTGACATGTAAAAAAGCACACGAGGTCCCCGATTAACTTCAGAGTATTTTATTTCTTTAGAGAAAAGAAAAAAAAAAAAACACTTCAAAAGAATAACTCTTGAACGGAATCAAGTCATAGTCACTGGGAAACAAAATTACCAGGGAGGCTAATGTGAAATCCATCGATGTGATGCTGTCTGCGCAGCGGCTGTAATATAAACGGTGACCTCGGACCATCACCGTGGTCCAGAGGGCTGCCTGATGTGAAATGATTCTGAGTCACATATAAGAACTCTCTGATAAGCAGTTTACTCCCCACCTTGCTGCTTTGAGTAATTACTGAGAAACTTAAGCCCAATTTTTTATTAGCTTTCTATATGTAGTTGTTACTGTTAATGCTATTCGTTATGCCTGTGCCACTGACTGATTTTTATTTGCATGTTAAGTCAAACATTTTTACTGGAGTGAGCTCCACAGTCAATCTTATATAGAATAAAAATGACAATATTTTTAATATTCATTTTCTACCTTTTATTAACAGAAATAGTCCCAAATTATGTCATTAGAAGCAGCAGAACAGACATTCCCAAGATACCTTCTTCAACCACATCCTTTTTAATTCTCTTTTACCAAGTTACCTCTTCTTCATCTCCTTTCTACATGAATAATCAAAAGCCTTTCAACTTCTTTTCATACACAGTTCTTGCAAACTGCACTTACGGTAACTATTTGCCAAGAGGTGTTGCCTTTTCTTTCTTGTTCTTGCTATGAAAAAAACCCCAAAGTAATAAACTCCCAGAGCCTTTTTCTCCTCAGTTATCTGCAGCTCATTCTTCCGCTTGATCCCCCTGCTGTGAGCAATGATGAAAACATCACACTAGTAAGGATTCACCCGGAATACAAACCTTTACGTGACACGTGGTGTTAATGGCCAATGAAAGAAGACTGGAACACAGGCCTCATCTGCTGAGCTGCCACAGCCTGGGAGAATGAAAGGTGTTTTCTTTCAGGTGAAACAGCCAGCCAAGGAACCAGAGGAAAAACAAACAGTCCAATACACAAGGCTGTTGTCAGTTCTGTCTCCAAAAGAAAAGGAATGCTAACATGAACTTGGATTGTTGCTAAGGTGGGTATCCCTTACATATTCAGTGAAGTGTTCAAGGCCAGGTTGGATGGGACTTGGAGCAACCTGCTCTAGTGGAAGGTGTCCCTGCCCACAGGAGGGGGTTGGAAC